CCTGCACTGCGTCACTGCTGCGATGGAGCGCTTATTCACATGATGGTGAATGTCTGAAGTTTCACAGCTCGGAGCAGAGAACCCATTTTCATCAGATCTTAATAACTGATAAGCAGCTTGCTCACTGCAGCACCACTCGCCAAGTCACAGCAGCTGTTGTTGTGGTGCTATGTTTCACACCAACGTGGCTTTTGTCTTCAGTTTTTTGCTAATAATAATGCATTTTTTTAAAGAACAATGAACATCACATGGAAATTAAGTTGTACATGTCTGCTTTAAACGGTTAAAGAAGAAACTAAATGAACCAGTAAATCTTAAAATACTAAAGAAAACACCCACCAGCTACTTCAACTACTTTTCTCCTTTTATTTATACTGACTTAAAAGGTCCAAAGAAGTAAAATAATGAAGTCCTTCACGAAAACTAAACATTAGAGAAAAATGTGGAACACAAATCTAAATACTTTGGTGGATTCAAGTATTTTTTCTCGTTTTATGTTCTCTCAATTCTCTGGAGATCCATTATTTTAGCTTGTGACCTTCTTCTGGGGATCGTGCCCTACACCCACCTACAAGATGTTAATGCATAAACCGAATCGATACTGTGAAAGTGGGGGAGGCAAAGCTAGCAGTTTGACAAGTGAGGAGAGAATACAGTATCACAGCCTCACATTGTCTTACAGGCCATAACCCTTAGTGTACTAATTAAGCCGCTCAAATGCTGTATACTGTCAATAAGACAAAACAACACGAGTATCAGTAATGCACGATTATGAAACTCTGAGCTATTTACTCTCAAATATAAAGTCAATCTACTAAAAATGTCAGACTGAAATGTATCATTAAGTCAGCAGTGCAGTTTTACATTCACATAAAGCTGTTTTTTTTCTCTGTTTTTGTCAGGAAACATTGATCTTGTTTGGATAAACTTTACTCAGTTGTCAGTGGACAAGACAATCGAAACTTTCTACCACAATTCTCATGGAGCATCATGTTCTAATGCTTTAGCCATGTGTGTTCTTTGTCCCAGTTCCTTCCTTCAGACCCATGAAGAGACCAGAGCCGACTGACTTCAGTCAGATGAAACAGTCCCAGAAACGCAAACTCCTGTAAGCAGCTTTCTTTTTTTCTTTATTTGATCAGTGCTCTCTTCAGCATCCCACGTGATTAGCGCTGTAAGTTCAGTCTTAACATGAGCATGCTGTGCTCCTCTTATAGGGAAACGGAGACCAGCCGGTTCAGCAACGCGGTAAAGACGCTGTCTGCCAAAATGAACCCTCTTGCTAACAATAGCAATGGCTGAACTGTGGGAGGCTGATGTGCCTCCACAAACATAGACAGTTGAATTTATCAGGGAAACCCAACGTCAAGGACATAGAACCTTATGGCACATCACACCTCTGGGCTTAAGGATGCTGGTTAAAAACAACAGCATGCGTGTATTTGTAAGGTATCCTTTCACATTTATTATCCACATTTCTGTTGCAGTAATGAATCCATTTAAAATTAAGGCTCATTTCAAATGTCTGTTTTCAGTGCAGACATTTTTACAACAAATCTGCCTTCTTTCTACCAACACCAACATACCCACTTGTCTATTTTCGGCATCTTATGATTGTGCTGTATTGAGAATAAGATCAGCTCCCAACTCTGAGTGACTCATCAGCAATAACCATAGCAACTCCTCTGATCCATGTAAATGAACATCTTGTCAGGGCAACACTGAACCACAAGCTGAGTGAAAATATTGTCAAACTGTCACCAGGAAGCAGATCAACATGTTTGGGGAGCAGTGGGACTCACTGTGCATGCTGCACATCTTACTCAACATGTTTGTGGGAATGTGGACACTTCGGATTAAAGGATAATTCCAGTTTATGTTAACCTGCCGTAGTCTCTTAATGTGTCTGTTGTGGTTCTCTGGGTCACTCTTCACATTTATTACAGCGATTCGGGGAAAAAAAGCAACATTTGTCTGAACAAACAGCACAAGCTTTGAGCAGCTTTAAAAAAAACAGATTTTTACATTATTAATATTATGCGTTTGTTTTTCCAATTTGACCAAAAGTTAACAAAAGTCAACTACCTGTGACCTGTTCCATGAAGCCTACAATAAAAAATGGGGATTAAAGTCCAACATTTCATTTCAATTAACCAAAAAATCAGTCTGGGCTAAAGCAGCTCCATAAAAGCCAATTCAAGATTACTTAATCAGGCTAATTCAATTCAGGTTCAACAGAAAACCACGCATGCACAGTTCTCAATCATGGATCAGATCGATAGCAGTGATGCTCACAGCCACTAAACAGCACTTATTATTGGAAGCATATCTAAAAACAAGTCATACAGCTGTCGGAAGCAAACCACAGAGGAAGGCAGCAAGAAACTGCTGATCAGTCAAAAGTAAATAGCAAGTAAATGCCCTAAAATATTTTGATACAACCTGATTAAATCCAGAGTGTGAGCTACAAGGAGTCAGAGGGAGCTCAGTTCCTCTTAATAAGACATGAGCTCCCCTGAAAATTTGTGAATCTTTGGGAGACTATTTTTGCCATGCATTTCTATTTTTATGTGCTTTTACCATCATGAATCATGCGTAAAATTAGGCTATTATTAAGGGATGATTCATGTATGAGGTAGAGACATCACTAATTCCCTTTGTGAAAGATACCGGCATGCACAGTGCTCCTGCTATCACCATCAAACCGCAGTACCATAAAATGTTTTTTTCTTGCACTTTAAATTATTCATATTGTTATTAACAGGAATAATGATAAATATTAACTGAATCAGTTATTTAATGAATGTTGTTTCTAACCCCGAAAACATGGAAGAAATTAGCTCCTCTGATAGTCTTGGTAGAGTTTGCACACAGATTTGCTCCTTTATCGACCTTTACTAATTCACTAAATAAAGCACACACACACTCAGCACATTTAAGTTTGCTATTTTGAAATTGTTTTAAGTGTATTAACCAATACATGTTCAAATACTGGAGAGAGGTCGATGGATTTAGGTCCTACATATTTTGCAACTGTATTGGTAACTGTTTATGTAACTATTATCATTCTATTATAGGTATTTATATTTGGGCTCATTTTATGTAGCTTGAAGTGTTGGCTATCATATACCATATAACTGAGCATATTTATCATTGTGTAATTTATTTAAATTTGTTTTTATTGAAGTTATTTTCAGTGTAAACTTCAAGTTTTGGACTGAGACAGTAATGAAGTCAGATAATTTGTCAGTGGTAAACTCTTGGCTTTCCCATTTGGTCATTGTTTCAGAATTGGATAAACAACAACTCAGGCTTAGCTGGACAGTTAGCTGGACAGTTAGCCAGACAGGTAGCCAGACAGTTAGCCTGCCCTGGACCAGGTTTGCCAGCATGAGTCGACAGAGTAACTAAATAATTTTGAATTTGCTTATGGAGCTGAAAAAACCTAAAAGTAAGTCAGGCTAGCTGGAATAAACCCGATTTATTCGCTAGACCTGCTTTATGAAACAGGCCCCTGGAACATCCAGAGGTCTTCATTCTGGGATGCTTGACAGCCGACCCAATCATCCTAAATATTCATTCCCAATTGATAGTTTGTGGGTGAATAGGGCTCCTTCTGTCCTTCATCTTCCTCCTTGTGACCCCTAAAGCGATTTTAGTGCCATCATAAAAGATGTCTCAGCTCCTAAAATGTATTTAAAGGAGAGAAGAAGGTACAGGAAGAGCCAGCAGCGAGGATGCATCCTTTGCAGAAGTCCTTTCAACATATGACGATGTGTAGACAGAGGCGTGAATACACAAGCCGTGCATGTAGGCACACCAAATGTGTATATAATATATATATATATCCCTCAGTCATATATGTGCTTGCTCATCTGCAAACTTTCTAACAAGTTGGTATAAATTCCCCTTTGAGATTAATTAAACATATATTCCATTTCATTTCAAACTAAATATAGCAGCAGCTGCATATTACAATGGCAGTAAGAGGGTCAATAAATATTTAATACATTTAAACAAACTTCAAAAGCAATAGACTGACAGGCTGTAGCATAAAGCTTTGATGTGACAAAAGGCTGAGCTATAAGAATGTCTTTAAATTCATCAACATAATAAGGAACCCTCCCCCATTTATACAGCATTTATCTGATCTACCCATCGGGGAAAAGGCCCGCTTTCACATGCAGCTACTCTAGTGTTGAGGATGTATGCCAACCTACTTTTATCATGCAAGCAACAATATCAGTATTTAAAAATATATTGTGCTGACGCGATTCCATTGTGGATTATTTATTATAGAGCCTTTAACTTGGGCTGAAGACGGTCCAATAAACTCCAGAGACCAGGACACGGTAATAGTTCAGTTTCTACCAGCCAATTAAATGAAATTATTTCAAAATGACATATTCAAATACCAACATGCAGCCAGAGATCACATGACGTATATGACTTATTAATGAGATGCAGCTGATCATTGAGAAGCACCAGTTGCCAGCAGTGGTGGAAATATTTAAAATATTATTATTATAAGTATTACAACTTTAGTAAAAGTAAATAAAATACTAAAACTTGAGTAAAAGTAGCAATTAATTCAAGAGCTTCATTTAAAACTTTACAGTGATCTTTAAGTTGCAAATATTATTATAATACTCACATTTAATGTTGGTAATTGCATCAGCTTAATGGTATGTGTCAATTAGACTCCAATTTCTGCCTTATTTGACTTCAAACTAAATTCAATACAAGGTAACTTAATGAAATTGGCTTGATAACTGCATTTTTCTTCACTTTGAGTTCAGGATTTCAAATCCCCTCCTCTATCTAAACATGCCTGGACAACATGAAGTGTTTAAAAAGAGAACATGCCCTCAAAACCTGCAGGAGGTTTTTGGGTTCAAAGGGTCAAAGTGAAATCAGAAGTTAGGCTCAATCAGCATGATTTAAACAGAAATACACATGTGCTGCCAAACCCCTCGGTACCTTCAGCACAGGTTCAGGCATTGCTGCTCATCTTCCTCTTGTCAACCATTAACTGCTATCGTTTTAGAAAATCCATCCACCCATTATTTCAGTACCGGTATCAGGTTTGATTCTATTTCCTGTCAATCAGCGGGTATTCCAGTGAACAAATAGAAACTTTGCACCAGAATCCAAAACTCTTCTGCTCGCCCGTTATCTGGGGCAAAATAGGAAAAGTCTGCAACAAACTTGAAAGGAAGAACTGCATAAATAAGATGCACCACATTAAATATTAATGAGTTAAAATTTAGAAACCAAACTGGCTGATTTCAGATGATGCTTGACCTCACTGGAAGTTTCATGACTTGAAGATGTGATGCATTTAATGACGTTGCACATCCCAGTTTCACAGTTAGAAGAGAGAAAAGTATAGAACTCTTCTATCAGTGGTGAATGATAAATAACACCTAACCGTCTATTCCAACCTGTATTAGCCACATATCTGCCAGCAGTGTGCATGTGTACATTCCTTTGAGGGTGCTGAGTGTTCATACAAACTCACTGCTGAGCCATCTCTCCCTCCTCTCCTTCATCTTCTCTTTCTTCGACTTGATTTTCTTCTCGTCCGGGCCTGTGAAAACACATGCAATAGTTACATGACGGGCTTCACTCGATGGAGTGAGAAAGCCTGCTCATTAAACAGGAGGAAAGGCAAATTCATAAATGTGTTAAAGATACATCAAAGGTGGTGAGGGAATGACTCCTCCGTCCAGACTGAGAGCGGAGCTGGACGAACCGAGA